ATGAACCAGCCATTATGTCATCAGAGTAATTAGGCGGAGCATTCTGTGTTAAATGCAGGTTCCTAGGGGAAGCATTAGGCCATTGATTTCCTGCAGAGGAAACGTAGTGCTCTGCCTCTTTCAGTTTTATTTCCAGCAATGTTCAGACTTCTCCATACAGCCACCCACTCTGTCTGCCCGCTTCTCTTGCCAAGTGGGAGAAAACCAGCTCTCGTCACCAAATTCTGGCTAGAGGCTAAGGCAGGGGCAGGCAACTGCGGCCTCTTTACAACCTGTGGACTTCCACTCCCAGAATTCCACTCCCAAGCTGGCTCAGGAATTCCAGGAGTTGAAGTCCATAGGTTTGTCAAGGGGTCATAGTTGCCCTCCCCAGGCCGGGGTATTAAAGACAAGAAGATTACCTGGTCTGGATTGCAAAACGTCTGTGTGCCACTAGATGGCAACAAGGAGCTGATGTTCTGCATCATTGATAGGGAAGAGCAAGGGCAAAGATAGGCCACCAAAATGAGAAAGAAGGTTTGAAAGACCTGGGAATGTTTGGCTTGTATAGAAGGGACTCTTGAGAGGGGATATGAGAACTGTCTTCAGATACCCGAAGGGCTTCATATTGCAGTAGGTTTGGATTTGCTCCAGGTGGTAAAACTAGAAAAAAATACTTTAGGATGAAACTTCGGGATTCAAATTTTTTTACTATCGGTTCTGTGGGCATGGCATGGCATGGCTTGGTGGGCATGGCAGGGGAAGGTTACTGCAAAATCCCCATTCCCTCCCCACCCTGCTAACCTGCTTTCCAGCTCCGTTCTCCTGTGCAGGGCAATAAGACCCAACCTGAGACTCAATGGGAGGCCAAGAAGAGATGGGGGCGGGGCCAGTCAGAGGTGGGATTTGCCGGTTCTCCGAACTACTCAAAATTTCCGTTACCGGTTCTCCAGAACTGGTCAGAACCTGCTGAATACCACCTCTGATACTGATCAGATGCAAAGGAGAACTTCTTGACTATCCATCATGGTTTCTTCTACTTCGCTGGAGGTTTTCAGAAGCTGGATAATCGCCCATGGAGATGGTGTGGTGAATCCTGCAGTGTGCAAGGAGTTAGACTTGATGACCTCTAAGGTCCCTTCCAACTTTATGATATCTACTGATCATTTGAATTTTTGCAGCCCAGATCTGGCAGTCATCATGAAGGTGTTTTATTTCTTGTCATGCCTGCAGATACTGATGTCCTTACACCAAAACTTTGAAATTCTAATTTAAATGTACTGGCTTTGTTTATACATTACAATAATTTTAAAAAAAATGTGGCTCGTTTGATTTTTAACTCAAATATTCATTGAGGTTTATGGACTTTAATCTATGGCTTATATTGTACTGAGCTAGTTAGCCAATTGCAGATTGATAACGTTTAATAAATAGATAAAAGTAGGCTTAATGCAGTCTGTAAGTCCAGTCATCTGACAACATAATTTTGACTCATTCAACAGCCATAACTGCATGCTGCATTTGTTGAAAAATCTGGATTACATTAAAATGCAGCTAGGCAATTTGTGATTCAGCATGTTGTGGGAATTTTAGTCTTTTTTTTTTTTTTGAGGGGGGGGAGTTGTATAGATTGAGTTATGGTTTCTTTATTTGAGCCCAGCAATTATTGTTTATTCAACTGGGCTGTAGGTTTGGTATGCTGTGGAAAACCAGCTTGTGTGTGTGTGTGTGTGTGTGTGTGTGTGTGTGTGTGTGTGTGTTTGTGTTTGTGTACAGTGAGCTACAAGGCAAATGTAAGAAGCTCTTGTGTGAGCTTTGTAACCCAAAAGTCCAAATGTACATCACCACTTGGCCCGATTGTAATATTTAAAATCTATCTGCAGCTTTCTAATAAACCTCTATGTTTTCTTCTGCTGCTCTCTCTGCCTTACAACTTAAATACATGCGATGTTTTAGGTTGGCTACATTTTCTATTTTGTGTGTGTGTGTGTGTGTGTGTGTGTGTGTGTGTGTGATTTCGTGTCCAGAGACCTAGCGCCCTACTGTATCTTGTCTCCAGCAGGATCTAAGTTTCCATGCAGTCTTAGGTCTACCGAGAAGTAGCCCCGATTGAATTCAATTATAGATTTACTTGGAGATTAATATGCACAACATTGCAGCCTGACACCATCTGTTTCCTGTCTCTGGATGACCAGGAAGCAGAGTTTCTAGATTTTGCCCTTGGAATTTCAGCTTGGCTTCACTCAATCTCCCCTTCATTTATCCAGTCCAAAAAAAACATGCACCAAGGAACACCCTGTTCCCTAGTAATCTGCAAGCTTTCTCAATACTTGGAATAAAAAGTGGGACCTTGCTAAGACCTTTTAAATCAGGGGTGTCCAACCTTTTGCCTTGCCTGGGCAGCACTGAGTGAAGAGAAATTGTCTTGGGCCGCATATAAATATATATATATATAAATCGAGTTTAATGCATTTAAATGCACATAATGTTAACAGTTTATGATCTTGCTAGGATGGCATTATTAGCTGTCCAGGGCTGCAGGCGGCCTGTTCATGCCTGTTTTAGATGCTTCTCCTAGGAGATTGTTTGGCCTGAATTGGAGCCCTTGGTCTATAGGGACTCCTCCATTTACAACTACAACTGAGCACAAAATTTCAATTGCTAAGCAAGATGGGTATTGGTGAATTTTACCTCGTTTTACAACCGTTCTTGCCACCGTTGTTAAATGAACCACTGCGCTTCTTAAATTAGTAACATGGTTAAGTGAATTTGGCTTCCCCATTGATCCTGGGACACTGCAACAGTCAAAAGCATCTGAATGTAAATCACTTGACCATGGGGATGATGCTCCAATGGTCATAAGTGTGAAAAATGGTCCTAAGACACTCTTTTCAGTGCCCTAACTTCAAATGGTCACTAAAAATGGTGGTAAGTTGAGGGTTATTTGCATACATAAGCTTCCCATGTGAAAGCCAAACTTGTTTTTATTTAGAATTTATTTTATTTAGGATGTAGAATCTGTTTCAAATAGGCTATTCAAATATTTGCTGTACATCCACCGTCTTACCACACTTGTCCCAGTCTTACACTGGGAGGCTGAAATTTAAGATTCAGAGAAACTGTATGTCCCAGGCACCCAGCCATCTTCCATAGCTACAAGAGGACTGGGAGAATTCGGGTGGACATCTCCACCACCACAACATAAACCAAAGAAGGTTTGTCCTGGAAGATTCTCAGTCATCCTGGTAGAGTGGCTGAAAGTTGAGTCATGGCAACGCAACTTCTTGCCATCATGGGTTTAGGGCGACCCCATTTTTGACTTCCAGGGTAGTTTCATTTCTCACCTCACCTGAATGGGCTCCTTTGGTGAATAGGCAGAGAATCGTGAAAGAGTTGTGGCTCCTAAATTCTTCTCTTAGGTGGGACACTAAATGTGACCTCCCTAGTGAACTCGTGAAGCAGCCTCGGACTTCCTGGAGACCGATGCAAGAACATCATGTGAAAATGAAACCGCCCTGGAGGACGTATGATATGAATGGGCTTCCTCCCTAACCAAGTTGCTCAGATCAAAGAAACGATTTGGAAAAGCAGAGAAACATTTCCAACTGAGAAAGGCAACGTCCAGTTGTCATGTCTCAAGTTGCAGACGCACCAGTTCTTTGCAGGACAAGAAACAACGGAAGTTTCCTTGTTCAAAGAGAGAAGCAACCTGGAATTAAGGAGAAACTTTCCAACAGCAAGAACAATATGCCAGTGGAACGGCTTTGCCTTCAGAAGTGGTAGGTGCTTCATCACTGGAGGTTTTTAAGAAGAGTTTGGACGGTCAGTTGCCTGAAATGGTATAGGGTCTCCTGCTTGAGCATGGGGGTGGACTAGAAGACCTTCCGGGTCCCTTTCAGCTCTATTCTGGAATAGACATATTTATATTGCATATAGGTATATGAGATGAGAGGTGTCTGTACAGAGGTGTACATACTTGTATATACTGTATACAGGTGTATATAGACTTATACAGGTAATCTTTGTCTTACAACCACAATTGAGCCCAAAATTTCTGTAGTTAAGTGAGACATTTGTTAACTGGGTTTTGTCCCATTTGATGACCTTTCTTGCCACAGCGGTTAAATGAGTCACTGCAGTAGTTCAGTTAGTAACATGGTCGTTAAGTGAATATGGCTTCCCCGTTGACATGGCTTGTCAGGAGGTTGCAAAAGGCGATCCCATGACCCCAGGACACTGCAACTGTCATAAATGTGAACCAGTTGCCAAGCATCTGAATTTTGATCATGTGACCATGGGGATGTTACAAAGGTCGTAGCTTTGAAAAGCAGTCATAACTCACATTTTTCAGTGCTGTTGTAACTTTGAATGGTCACTAAATGAATTGTAAGTTGAGGACTACTTTTGTGTGTGTGTGTGTGTGTGTGTGTGTGTGTGTGTGTGTGTGTTGGCTTTGCTGGCTGAGGAATTCTGGGAGTTGAAGTCCACAAGTCTTAAAGTTGCCAAGTTTGGAGACCCCTGTTCTATTAAAAGCAACAGAGTTTGCAAGGGGCAGAAGAGGGGAGAAGGCAGGTGCGGTGAAGAAGAAACAGCAATGCTACCTTAGAGCTGAAGAAGCTTCTTGGATGAGAAGCGAAAGGTCTTCAAACCAGAAAGTCCAACTGCCTCTTGAAAAAAAGCACCTTTGGGGACAACCAAGACCTGGACGGCTGAGAATCTCCACAGACAAACCATATGAGATGAACGATTCCCGGCCGAAGCCGGTGCAACTTGGACCTGCCAACCCAGGGATCCTCCTCCATAACCACCACTTGAGCAGCAACTTTTTGGCCTCCCCCGCGCCTTGTTCTGGACGGGAAGGTCGGAGAAAAGCAACCGAAGGCACCGAGGCTAATCCGTCCCCGGCGCACACGGTGCGCTCCAGGCCCCAGGTTGGAGCTGGCCCTGCTCGGCCCGGAGTGGCTGGAAGCTGCTTCCTGCTCGTGCCGCCGCCGCCGCCAAGCGCAAGGCCGGAGAGCGCGCGGTGCCTGGCACCGACCGGCCAGAAGCTGAGGAGACCGACCGACTGACCGGCGGCTCTGAGCTCCAGTTCGGGCAGGGTCTGCCTCCCGCCAGCCTCTCTGAGGGGCGAAGGAGGAGCGAAGGCGGGGCGGTCCCGGAGCGCGCAGGGAAAAAAAGAAAAGAAAAAAAAAAAAGAGAAAAGTTTTGCCCGGAGTTTGTGGAGGCGGCGAGGCGAGGCCAGACGAGGCGCGGGCACCTTCCAGGATGGACGCCCTCAAATCCGCCGGGAGGGCCATCATCCGCAGCCCCAGCATCGCCAAGCAGAGCTGGGCCAGCGGCCGGCACAAGAGTAAGTTACGGCCAGGCGGGGAGCCACGGAGCCTTTTCGCCCTGCCTCAGCCGGCTCAGCTCGGGGCCTTCGCCGCTCGGAGGGCAAAGGGGGGGGCTCCGCATCGCCGGGCAATAGTAGGGACGGCCGAGGAAGGAGATCCTAAGCCTTTTTTTTTTTCTACAAGGAGGGGCAGGGTAAGCGGAGAAAGACGAGGATGACGGCATTTCGCAGGGAAGGGGTGGGAGGAGAAGGAGGAAGGGGGGGTTTCCCTCTGGCGGCCGGGTATCCCCCCTCTCGGATGGGGACGCGGGGCTGGGGGCGGCAGCGGCGGCCGGGGGAATCCCAGCGAAAGTGGAAGCGTAACTTTGTGTCGGCGAACTTTTCGCAAAGGAGCCGGCGGCTCTCCTCGAATTGCAGCCGCCTTCGCCCGCGCGCGGTGTCTGATTTCCCCGGGTCCGGTCGGAAGAGCGCCAGCCCGGAATGGGAGCTTTTTAACTTAACAGAGGTCTCCAAACTTGAGCCACTTTAAGACTTGTTGGACTTCAACTCCCAGAATTCTCCAGCCAGCTTTGCTGGCTGGAGAATTCTGGGAGTTGAAGTCCAACAAGTCTTGAAGTGGCCAAGTTTTGGGGACCCCTGTTTTTAGCGCCTTCCGAACAGAGGTGGGGTTTCTCAACCTTTTGCATCTTTTAAAGAGGCGCGGACTACAACTCCCAAAATTCCGTGGGGAATTCTGGGAGTTGAAGTCCACGCGGCCTTAAAGTTGCTTAAGGTTGCCGAACGTTGGCTTCAAGTTCTTAAAACTTTCCAATTCTGTTTCCCCCTCATCATCTCCCTCAGGTAGTTTTGGACTACCGTTCCCAGAATTCCTAGCAAGTGACTGTACTGGCTGGTGATGCTGGGACCGGTAGTCCGAATGTGTTCTGGAGATAAAATGGGTCGTAGGTTTTGTTTGCTACCGGGCACGCGTTCTTTCAATCTTTAAAGGTCTTTAAAATGGTTTTATAAGCTGAAAAGTCGTAAGAATGCAAAAACCGGAAGTGTCAGAGAACACTTGCCTCCCTCTCCGTTTGCACCCGACATAGTTGCCTACTGCGTGAGTGATGCTGCTGCAATTTCTGTTGTTTGCTTTGTTAAAATTTCTACTGTGGGATTGTTAAAGCGGGGCTTCATCCTTTTTTTTATTTTTATTTTTGAGCTCTGATAGGACTGAATACAAATATTAACAAGAGTTCTTTGCCACACTGATTTCTCTGATTGCGTTTATCTCTGTGGGTTGCACAGGAAATCTAAACCACTCTTTAAAGGTGAGAGATTCAAAGCCTCCTTTAGCCAGGATGAGATTAAGTCACCATTAATCCCCTAACAGGCTGGGATTGTACACAGTCCTTACCTGGATTTACTCCATTTTTAACTTCCAGAATCTTGGAATCTGGACTTTTGACAACTAAAGCATAGGCTCACAAATTCCCAGTTGAAAAATAAAAAATTCCATGGAAGGTGATCCACATGAGTAAGCGTTTGATATTATGAAATCAGACAGAACTTTGTTATCTCGCTGTACCTACTATTCCTAGTTAGCAAATTGAGGTTATCTTTTCATGAGATCCAGCTGACAGTTGGGTGGATGGAACAGCAACAGATATTTCTTTACTGGATTTATATGCCACTCCAGTCAAAAGTGAATCTCAAATGGCTAACATGCTTCCAAACAGTAATAGGATTAAAAACAAAATGCAGCTACCAATGTGCGTTATCCAGACATCCGAGAACAACCATAACACATAAATATTCATTCTCCTTGACTGATCAAATGCAACCCACTGAAGGCCCACTGAAGCAGTTGGGATCTGCCTTAATTGTTTTCCCAAAAATTAACAGTGGTGGTCTAACCTGTTATTTGAGGAAGATGCTGCTCCAGAGAAGGAGGTATTTGTGTTATTTCTTTTTCTGTGGCTTCTTATTATGGGCCATGCCCTGAACTCCAATGATTGGGCTGATGAATAAGGACAATGAAATAAACAGATGGGAATCCAGACAGCTGTGATCTTCATTCAACTGAATAGATCTAGTTTGAAAAGAGCAGGCTCTGCTGATCAGAATGATGTAATTCGGACTCTTCTATTTATAAAACCACCCAGTGTTGTCCTTCTTCTGATGTATGACAATGTATCATCTTAATATCTAACAAGAGGCGACTTCTTGTGACTCTTGAGGATGCAAGGAATGGACCATTACTCCAAAAATATCCTGCAATTCTGAAGGGGTTATGAGCTAATGATGCAATTTATGGTCTTTTGTGTTGTGAAAATGGATGGAAATAACATGAATAGTCCAGATTTCTTTTGGGGAGAGGGAATACAATGTTGTTGATAAAAAGGGAAAAGAAGCATGAAATATTTGTCTAATGCAAGGCTATCCAAACTTGACAAGTTTAAGACTTGTAGACTTCAATTCCCAGAATTCCTCAACCAGGAATTCTGGGAGTTAAAAGTTCATAATTCCTCAGCCAGGAATTCTGGGAATTAAAAGTTCATAATTCCTCAGCCAGGAATTCCAGGAGTTAAAAGTTCACAAGCTTTAAAATTGCCAAGTTTGGAGACCCCTGGTCCATAATTTTCAGAGTCCTCTAGTGCAGAGGTCTTCAACCTTGGCAACTTTAAGACTTGTGGACTTCAACTCCCAGAATTCT